TTCCTAGAAAAATACACTTGAAAATGGTATTCATTGTCAAGCTAATGTGAAAGTCTAGAAAAGATTGAGACAAGTAGTTGTGGAATAAATAGCAATTTAGCAGTTCCACGGAAAACCACCTTGGTTGTGAATTCAATTGTACCTTGACAAGCCAGATGGCAGTGGGAAGTCCATCTGCCGACCAAAAGTGGTACAGTAAGAAATGTCTCTAGAGCAAACGTCTTGATAATGGTTGACTACTGACATACTAATTCTAAATTATTGAAAATGCAAAGAGTTTGAAAAATTAAATGTATTCTATTTGGTTTTTGGAACCAAATTTTCCTAGGATGTAATGTACACTACAGTGTAACCTAGACTTATTGGCTCCTCATTTACATGATCTTGATTATTATGAATGAATAAATATGGTTCTCCAAATCAAAATATATTTAATCTGGTAAAATAAGTGGAGCTTAGACTGTTGCTTAAACAACTAGATCATCTTGGAGTTGGCAGACACCCGTGGAAAATGCAGTAAAATGATGTAACCTGAAACTCTGTATATTGGCTTTATTGTTGTAGATTGAGCTACTGGGAACAAAGTTGCAAGTAGCACAGGCTATGGTGAGTCCGTGGTGGATTTGCTTGGCACAGGAGCGGGACTGTAACTGTGCACTTTATGTACATTGCTTGCATATGAATTCACTACCGTTTCATATATGAAATTTATATACTTTATACAGTTATAAAAAATTTATATAAATTTGTATCTAAATTTATTAAATATTTTATAATTTATACAAGATTTGGTTCCTGTACCTTTATCCCTCCGGTCCTGCTGTTGCTACAGTCCTAGCCATGGAGTAGTCCTACCAGGAAAAGGGGGGTCCTTCTGCTTCCTTGATGGCCAGCTCGGCCTTGGTTTCAGCCGATTGCTTGGTATCCGAACAGAGCAATCGGCTGGGTTGGCTAGTGTTTTTCAATATCTCTTCCGCTTTCAGAATATCAGTCCAGTGACATAGCTTGCTGGTTTGAACTTCTCCAGGCTCTTCACATCTGATTTCTATTACATCTTTATTGCCATCTCCAAGGTGAGTAGGTGACTGATTTGATGGTCTGCTACCTATGCTGTCTTCATGGCAGCAGTATTAGGTTTCTTGGCAATGTTTTTCTTCAATCCAGGATTTGACTATTTTCCTGTTGCTGCTCGCCTCCAGTTCTAGAGCTGGGAGCTTCTTGTCCTTCGGCAGTGTGGTTTGTCCTTTTGCCCTGGTGGGCATTATTTTCATTCTGCAGTCATCATTTTTTTCTGACAAAGAATGATGCAGTGGGCTTCCAGAGGGGTCTTTTGGTTATTGATGCTCAATTGGTTCAGACAGGGGGTGCATCATGTGTTGTGACAGTTCTGCCACTTCCTTTGTGCCACCGATTCTGCCTCGGTGGATGCTTTATGGGTTGATCGTTTCCTTGGTTCCCTATTCCAATGCTCGTCTTTCTCAGATCTTTGTGTCAGTCCAGCCTGCCAGCCTGTTGTCTACTCTTGTGCCCAAGATGGCTAGTTGCTCTCACAACTGTTTGCTAACATGTCCTGGATGTTATTTGGGTGGTGGGGTTTTGGTAGTCTAGCAGGGGATCTGGTATTTACTTAATATTCCCAGACCGCATCATGCCTGTGTTGTCTTGGGTCGTGTCACTAGACCTGTTGTCTTGTCTGTCATGACTGGCAGTGGTTTCTCCTCCTCCCAGGTGATTCCCTTGGTAGGTGTCATCTGCACATCTGTTCCAGAACTGGTGTGAAAGGCTGAAGGGGATGGGGAGCTTTGACCCCCCCCCCCCCCAACTGTTGGGGAAGGAGTAATCTAACAAGCCTATGCTTGTTTTGAGACATTCGATAATTTCTTTACATTGTTGTTTTTGGTGCTTCTGAAGCTTCAGCTTCTTCACATCCATCAGTGGTCTGTATTGGCTTGCTTTTTTGAATGGTTTCAGAGTAGTGATATTGTCACCTGATCTCTGCACCTCTGTAAGGGGGGGGAGGGGGGTCCAGGTTCTGGCTCTGGTCCCTGGTAGATAGGCCAAACAGAACTCTACAGTTGACGTGACCTGGTAATTTGGAAACACCTCGGCAAGATAGCTTTAGGGAGCCACAGAGCTCGCCTAGAAAGAGGCAGTTCATTGCATTAAACCCCCCCCCCACAACCTCGGTTTGACACCACCTGGAGACGCAACATTTTGACTCGACTGCATTCTTTTGGCTTTCATGGCAATCATTCTTTTCCTTAAAATAGCTTCCTCTCATTGTTCATTTAAAGTGAGTCGATGCTACTTTCTCAGCCCTTATGCCCAGCTCTCTTCTTCCCTCCAATGTTGGTTTCAGCTTACAATAAGTTTAACTCATGATTAATTGAACAACATTTACCATTGGCTTTTTGCTTAAGTATTTATCAGCCCATAGTTGAGTTGGTAATATAATCTAAAGATAAAAAATAAGGGCTGTAAACTTCTAGGTTTAAATTATTAATTTAAATTGACAAAATATCCACTACATATCTGTAATACAATGTGAAAGGTGGGGAATGAAAGATTTATAAAAATTTTACTGCAAACCATTACTATATTTTTTGGTTTGTCCGCACCATTGTGTTAATTAAGGTAATTTTCCCATCATTTAGAGTTGTGTACATTATATGTAAACTGTACAGTTTATGAAGTCTCAAAATTAAGTATTAAATATTCCTTGTATGGCTGCGTCAGTGAATACACCCCCCCCCCCCCATGCATGGATGATGCCCAATGAATACACCCCCCCCCCATGCATGGATGATGCCCAATGAATACACCCCCCCCCCATGCGTGGATGATGCTAGGCTAATACTGTATACTTGATGTGGATGATGCCCAAGGCATACAACACCTCCCCCCCCCCCCCCCTATCCCTAGTGTATGGGTGATGCCCAAGGAAGACATGATCCAGATGTGCGAATGATATTCCAAGGAATTCAATCCTGTGCCCCATTGTTTGGACGATGCCCAAGGACTGGAACACCCCCTGGTGTATGGAAGTGTGTTGGGTTGGTTTCATTACAGAGCCAGTAGAGATGATGGCATCACACACATTCAGGTAAATTATTTGATATTGGGTTTATTATTTAGTCTTGGGTTTCCTTCTCTTCACTATGGTATCACTATTCCTCAAGGTATGGTTTATTTAATTGGGTATGATAAGGAATTGGTATCAGGGAGATCAGTAGGGTATTATCATGCATCTTTGCTTCCTATCCTTTCATAAAGATTTTGTCGACTTAAGCAAACTATTACTGTACTACTAATGGGATGTTTGGTGCACGTGTATTGACTAACTTCAGCTTAATTTTGAAACTTTTTTTTTTTTTTTTTTTTTTAAAGGTGATCTGTGGTTAGAACATTTGTAAAGGTGAGAAGACTTGTCAGTGTTTTTCAAACTCTCATTTTATGGCTAATATGCCTGGTAGATGTTGGCACATGAATGGTTTTTGGCTTTGAAATTACAAACTTGAGTACTATCTCAAAGCACTGAATATTCTCTGGAATGAAGATATGAAAAGGAATGCAGTGGTCAGCACAATTGGTTCACACCTAAAGTCATGGGTTCAATTCTCACAGAACAGATGTTTGGAAGTTTTCTTTCCCCTGATGTGTCTGTTCACCTAGTAGTAAGTACAGTACCTGGGAGTTTGGTAACTATTGTGGGTTGCATCCTGAAAGTGGTCAGTTGTTGGCATAGGGAGACCTTGATTAGTCATAATCTATACATGGGGAAAATACTTGGACTGATCTGTCACTAAAATGTCATACCATAGCGAGACACACTTCAGTGGGTATGTCATAACCACAATGAAAAGTAGAGATGCCACAAACTTAATTAAGAATAGTAAATGTCAAAGTTCCATGAATTTTCAACATACTAATCAATATAAAATGTTACCAGGACAAAGGAGGATGTACAAGGTTAAGCAGGTTGTAATGGCTACGTCAGCTTCTGGTTGCAAACAGAAGTAACCAGATTGATCGTGGGGTCACAAAGAGCAAAGCCAAGCCTTGGGCTGGGTTGTGCGAGTTACATATATACAGTACTGTATATATTTTTTTATATGTATTTAATGAAAAGAGTAAAGGAATTTCAGCAGATAAAACAAATATTTATAGAGGTAAGAAGAAATTTGGCCATCCTAAAGTAATGTACCCATGCATAGGTTAGGCTTTTGGATTGGTTATGTATTATTAGTGCAAGGTACAAAATCAGTCCCAATATATACTCGGTTACAAAAGTTAATGTAAAATGCACTTCAAAGCAATATAGTAAAACCCGTGACTTTTAGATCTCGTTTTAGTACTAAATACAGTACATATTAATCTTTTTCCGTTCTCTCCTTCTCGTGCACCCTGAACTGCACCAAAAGTTACTTCTACTGTATGTAGCATGTTATGGTATAATTTAAATAACTACAGGACATACAGATGTGGAAAAAAAATCTTAGAAAATTGCCTGAATTTATGCTGAACATTGCAAACTTTTGGAGTGGTTCTCTTAATGTACTGTACTGGCAAGCTGTTAAAAACTAGTAAATGTTGTATTGTGCATGTTTAAAGCATCAATGTTTACATTGTTATAAAGAAGAGAATTCTCTTGTTTATGTATTGCAGCTGTATTACAGTGCAGTATTAACTTACTGATGTTGATCAAATGAATCGGCATTGTATAAAAAAAATCGATCTGAATATAACCTACAAATTTTAGTTAAGGGCATATTACAGTATTAACACAACACCAAATAAATCACAAGTAAATAATTACTGTACATTGCCCTTTAATTTTGTATAAGGTGTACTCTTACCATTCTTAGATTATTTAAAGATAGTCACCCTAATTGGTTAAAGTTGAACAGTAAATATCATTGTTACGAAAAGTAGAAATTGCTGGCTAGGCATTTACCTGATGTTTACTGGAATTACTTGTAAAGTGTTTTTTCCATTAACAGGTGCTCTTTCGATGAACAACACACACCAGTCGCATAATGCCAAGATTAAAAGCTTCAGAAATAAGACTTTTACTATTTTCTGCGAATGAATTATACATCTTGTCATAGAAATAATGTGGGCATTCTGTGATGGCGTTAAGTAAGTTACTATTTTTTGTTTTGGTTTTTATATAAAAATATATAAATAAAATATTTGAGTGTTTATCAGAACTTTATATATGGTAGATCGGTGGGTCCTCCAGTTTCCATGTGTGCTAATCTCCTAAAGTTGTCTTGTGAATAATTTCTCCTTTCGCAATATATGTTTATCATATCAGTGTTTGTATATACTGTACTGCTATTAAAATTAGTTTTGAATTAGAGAGGGATAACATTTACTGATTAACTCTTGTTAAAGATTAAGATTAAGGGAAGTTTGTCCCCTTATGTTATATAAATGTGATCTCCTGTTGTCCCCACAACAATTATAATTGAGGCAACAAAAGTTTAAAAGTTCTTGTACTGCACTCTTCTGTAATGCCATATTTATCAAGTACCTTTTTTAGTTTTTTAACATTTACATGCAAACCATTTATACTTTATAAAAGTGAATGTTTACTCGGCAAAAATTCTGCTTTAGAAATGCAGAAAGTATTTTTTGCAAAAACTGGAATAAGTGTGCAGAAGGTATAGTTTTGTTCTGTATACCACACAAGTTACCAGTTTTAATGACACAAGATAGTAATAGTAATAGAAAGATTCATAAGTTTTGCACTATACATATTCTTGAGCAAATGTTTTATGGCTTAATTTAAGCAAACACGTCTTAAATTTTGGTCTCGGTCATTAATAACATTGACAGTGTGTTCGTACACTTCCTCCACCACAGTTTGGTCTCTTATCCACCTGTTCAACCACTCTCTTCATTAAAGTATACTTTAGCATTCCTTTTGTTTAATGTGCGTTATAGTCCTTTCATTCCTGTCCTGAAGTCTTTAGTTCTAGTGGCCAGTGAACATTAATGAATGTACCAATATTGTAGTTCTTTCACGTTATAACCTTTTGTTTATTGAGATTTTCTTGCAAATGTCATTTCTGCAGCTCTCAATTTAATTTGACTTAATTTTTTAGGTACAAACAAAAAATTACTAGATCATAATAAATTAGATTACTCATCAGTGTTCATTTTGAACTACAGATTTTTTATTTAACTAAAATATGCCAACTTGTTAATCTAAAAACTGTTACTGATAAACTGAAGAGATGCAATATACAGTAATGTACAAAATGAACAACGATAGTACTGTACTCTGAAAACTAAAGCGGAGCTGACAAAAACAAAATAACAAAAATTTGCAACACATCATCCTTGATTCACCTTTAACAAAATCACTTGTTTACCTTATTAGACAAGTGTGCAAAGATGGTTTAAAATTATATATTTTCTTGATGTTTTCAGGAAGTACATTACTCAATTTAAATGGATTAGCAAAATTTGTACATAGTTCATGAAGGATCAGTTGCAAAAGCTTGACTAGAGCTAGACCAAATTGAGCTAGACTAGAGCTAGACTAGATTGATAAGAGCTTCACTGGAATAAACAAAGGACACAAGTTCCTATAATCTTCAACCGTGTGCATAAAATTAAGCAAGAAACTTGTATTATTAAAGTTTGTATAGTAACTTTATTGCAAAAGTAGTTTTATCTTGTATATAGCTTGAGACTTTAAATTTCCTTGTGCTGAAAGTGTCCTTCAATGTTTAAACATGCAGAACATTAGACCCATGTTTTTAGTTTTTTCAAGGTGGTGGCTATTTGCAGTTAAAGCGGCAGCACATTCATTTTCTTTTACATAATGTCATAACTATTTGAATTCGACCTTTTATTAACAAATTACTCTTAACAAAAATCACTGACACGGTACATTGTAAAAGGCAGCTGTACCCACAACACTGGGACCCAGTAACCCCTACATATGTACACGGGAAGATGGGACACCACGAGCGTAGCTCTCATCCTGTAACTACACTTAGGTAATTACACTTAGGTAATTACGACATTTGTGTTGCAACCTAGTCAATTATGTATAAACGTAGTTAGCCTTTCCTCCCTCTCCCCACATGCATACACAGAGAAATCAGTTTCACTGTTAACTGGTTCTTACAAAAGTATTTCCCAAGGATAGTAAGAGACCTGTTATATTATACACTAAATTTTATTAAGCAGCTGTCGATTAAAGTTTGTCACTAAACAAATGATAAAGCATTATGCCAGATAAAGGTACTGTTTATAGGTTATGTAATACCAAAATGTTATGTACAATTTTAAATACTGTTTCTATGTAATATGGTGCATTGCTGTAATGAACCATTAAGAATATATGAAGTTTCCTGCCCCCACAAAAGGCATAGGTGCTGGTGTAATGTGTAGAGTAATGAAATTTGGAGGTTTTCAAATTGATGTGCCCACTATTGGCAATTTTAACATCTAAATGATATGACTTGTTAAGAGTAATATTTGCTGTATATCAATATACTTTTGATAACATAAATATCATCTCGGTTGAGTGCTTTGTCTAAGCAAAATAATATATAGATGAATTGGCTACAATATCATTTTGATTTGATTTCTGACCAAACAGAAGATTTGCATTAAAAAGCAGAGTTTATTTTTAAGCACTGCCATGCTTAGAGAAGCGTTTGGCTTGGTAAAGTTACATCAGTGAACAAGGCTTTGCTCATATGGTTTGAAGATGCGTTTTAATCAGTGCTTCCATCACATGATTACTTCAGTAATTTGTGCCAGTTTTACTTTGTACAAGTCAACGCATTCAAAGTATTTTGTCTTGCACATTAAGTGTAATTTACAAAACTTTTTTTTTTTTTTTTTTTTTATTTACAGCAGTGAGAGTACAGTATTAGCTAACCTTTCATAGGTACTATACTGTGTATTTAAAGTGTTTTGACATTTTTATAGAGATTTATTATGCTCAAGCATTTCATGCAGTTACTATTGTATCTACCTAAAGTTAGCAACCTGGTGCTGCACTCTAATATTCATACTTTAATTTAATTTAAAATATCTCGACACTTATTGGCTATGCATTTTTCAAACTTTTGCATGTATAACTTAGTACAAACATACATAATACTGTAGTTACTCTATCAGTAACATGTATTTTTAATTGTTTTGGACTCATAACAACTCAGGTCACTACTGTATTATAACTAATTTTGAGTACTGTATTTAGTTAGAAGTAACAAAGGATTTCCATAAAAACCTAGATAGTTCATAAAAATGACTATGCTTGTGCTAACATCCAAATACCTCGGTGATATATTAGTTTAAATGTAAGGTATCCAGGTCAAGTCCAAAACATTAAAGTTTAGCATTGATACACCAATATAAGTGGTTAAGATTACTTAAAAAGCATTTTCTTCATTCAGTCATTCAGTACAGTGTGGAGATTGTGTAAAAAGCCGTAAATGAAAGCCCTAAATATTTTATTTTTGACTGAATTTACAGATCTTTTATCTGAATATATTGAAGGTATTAGTTTTTGTTAAAATTCATATTTAAATGCTTTGTTACATTTTAACATTTAAGTTAATGTGAAAGGCAAGATTGCATAAAAGAATTTTTCCTGCTGTTGCTTAGATTAAGGCAACATTTAGATTAAAGCTTGTGCTTCATTTTACAGTATTGACAAATATAATATAACTCCTACCTTCAGTAAGGCTCAGAATTTCATAAGACAAATACAGCCTCCATTTAAATGTGTTAATCACAATTTAAATTTGTAGAAATTAAGCACTGTACACACACTTTGTATAATAAAATATGCAGCTAATGGAAATGAGAATAAATATGTATTTGTTAAGTCTACCTATTTTAGTGCCATACTTGATGACTAATGATTTTAAATGTTTCATGTGTACAATGTTTTTACATTGTAATAATTCAGTACAGTGCAAAAGTACTTTCTGCTAAAGATCACATTCTGTGCATAAAAAATAAGAAGTCGGTAATTTGATCAAATTTGCTCGCTACATAGCAGTAAGTGGGAAAACATTTGCCCTAGATTATACTTGGTGGTTTTCATGGAAAAGCAGTTTACTGGCAGTGATTCTTGAAATGGTTGTGTAATATAAATATGTAAAATAAGTTGTCTAATGCATTTCCCAACATTTCATAGCATTAAACTTTAGAATTACTGCACATGGAAATGAGTACTAGTATTGTGCAATAATAAGTGTTGGCATTTTGCAGCATCATGGAATATTTTATTTACTGGAGAAATAAAAGGTAATTGACAGTTATTTTTATTTGCAATGATTTCCTTGAATCTAAACATTTATTTTGATGATTGAACATGTTCAATTGTATACTGTATTTTGTGGAACTTGGAAATTGTACTGTTACTTTATTAGTGAATTTCCTCTTAACATACTGTTAGGGTCCGGAACCAATTTGAGTCCAAATAGCATATGTATTTTATGGCCATAATTGTTTGTTATAAATGGTAGAATACTTGCTTGTGCCTATTTTGGTACCTAAAAAAATGGTACAGTATAAAAAAAGCCAAATAGTTTAGCCGCTAAATTATTGATGCCTAGATATTGGCATCAGGCACAATTGCATCTAAATATCCTTTTTGCATTAGATTTTCTGAAGGCCCAGATTTTAAGGGCAACAAACTATACTAAATTTCTATCAATCGCTGGAAAAGGACCGAGGCACTTTTGTTTTAAATAGCTAAATGCCTGCAATTATTTAAAGTTAATAGCAGCTTTTATGCTTTGTTTCTCCTCCTTGGTTATAAAGTTTATAGTAGTACAATAATGATATTGGAGCAATGTGATGGAATTAAACATAGCATATTTTCAAGATTCAAAAGATTTCCTCGGTTGTAATTTCACTGTGCATTGACTAATATTAGAGAACTGCAATACCTATACCAAAGAGCAGGTGACAAAGGTGTAAAAGCTGAATTTCAAATTCCTAAAGTTCAGGAATTAAAGCCAACTTGAAAACAGTTGTTGCATGTGCTATTCATCAAAAAATGAGTGAATAAAACCTATATTCTAGTCATTAACATTTGTATTTTCTAGCAATATGGCTTGGTTAAAGGCTAGTGGTTTGTGGCAAGCTGCTATACAGCCATTCAGATTCTAAAACATGCCTTGTATAAAAATAGATTTGAATGTAATGAAAGGCCCTTTCCTGGGTGGCCCTGGTGTTTATTCCCAACAGTGCCTCAATGAGGACATGGACTTTGGGCTAAAAGGAACAAAGAGGACTGATCTGTGTGGTGAGAAGGCTGTAAACTCAGAGCTCGGTAAATGATGACTTCGGGAATGGTATCAAAGCCGTATAAACCCGGTGAGGAGCATCCAGAAGATAGCACGCAACCAACACATGTATCGCCAGAAACAAAGCCCAATTGTTGGCCACAGGCATATTAACAAAGGAAGCTATATTAGTAGCATACTTTTGCACATAATGCATTTAGTAGTTACACACCAGGGCCAAGATTCAACAAGCAATTGCTTCCGAACCTGTACATCTTCTCAATCTTTGGCGGCATTGTTTATTTATTAGATGGTTTACGAGCATCGAAACCTCCCAGTCAAATATTGTTAGCTATAAACAGCCTCCTGGTGCTGAAGAGCTTGTATACTGTTTAATAAATGTTAAAGCCATAAAAGATTGAGAAAAGATGTACAGGTTTCTAAGTACAATAGATGCATGGATGCTTGTTGAATTCTGGCCCATGCTGGCTGAATGAAATTCCCTGATAGACAAATAATTTCCAAGTGGAGTGTTGCTCACACAATGGAAACACGTAATATTGTTCCGATACCAAATGACCCTGGCAATTAAACCTAAGTCTGTGTCATGGAAGAATCTTTAAAGGATCATCTCGATGAATTATTATTCTCTAACCAACTGTTGCATAAAATAAGCAGGTCAATGGATTTGTTAAAGGACGGAGCACAGCAAATTGTATAGGTCATGACAAAGCTAAGTACTCTATTTGTTGACATCAAAGGAGCCTTCGATAAAGCATAAGGAATTGCGATCTTAAATGAGCTTGCATGCATAGGTGTCAAGGGAAAACTCGTGAAATGGTTTGAAGACTACCTCACAGGAAAAATTATCAAATACAAATATTGTATTTCTGGAAGGAACACAAGTGGGTTATGCAGATGTCGTAATACAAGTGCCCACCTTTGTAAACAGTCCATTGAACTCCTTGGAATGAAATGTTTTAACTTTCACACTCCACAAACCAGACAAAAGCATACTCATCACAAGCAAGGAGAAATTGAACTACAAATTAATGGAAAAATACTTGGGTGGGTAGACCTATTGGTACCGTGACATCACTGTCAGCTCTAACAAGGAAAGGAGTTCCACAATCAACTCTTTGGCACATTTAATAGTAGCACAGAAAGATGTTGTAACCTGTAGAGTTACCTTCCTGGGAGGATGACTCGTGTAAGATTATTATAAGAGATGACAACGAAAAAGTCCAACATGATGCCACAAAAAGAGGTATGAGTATCTTGAAGTTTATAAAGCTGGAAATTAGATTAAATCTATGCTTATGGGTCATCTAATCCTACCAATGGCAGGGCTGGTGCAGCATACACTAATTAGGAATAATGCCTTTCAAAATGGAAATGAAGAAAAAAAGCACGTACTGAGAACCATGACTCAACACAAAGCTAACTGCCATTGTTATGGCATAAAGATTCCTTGAAACAAACATTATTAGTGCAGTGATCTGCACTAATTCAAATGCAGCACTAAGGACTTAGTAAAAAAAAAAAAAAAAAAAAGGCAAAATAACATTGCAATAGTCGCCGAAATAAAAAAAGGGAGCTGTAAGATTACTAACCAATCGGGGAAGAGTGGTCAAATTTCTGTGGATCCCCTCCCATGCTGGAATCTGTGGAAATGAAGGAGCAATTGTGTTGGCTGCTGAGGGTGCTGACAGAATACTGTACTGTACTTCGTACCCAAAACATCTACAAATTAGAGATGCAGTATTATCAGACAATAGCATTATGACAAGGTAACTGAGGAAAGAGGATAGAACAACAAATCGGTAAATCTGTACGCTGGTACAATGCGGTTGCAGCTGGCAATCCCAATCATTACGGAAGAACGGGAGATGGCCACTGCAGGGAATCAGTAATGGCAAGAATTCATCTTGAATACAAATCTCCATGGATGAGATTTGAGGTGGAAACAGCTGAGCTGCAGAATCTGTGGTGAGTGTGATGGACACTGCCTTGACTACTATCTGAGAGAATGTGAACATTTAAGAGACATTAGAAATGTGTAGCATAATAAATCCCACATTGTTTGAGTTAGGAAAATACTATTTGTCAAATATAAATACTGTTGTTAAAAGATTCCCCCATTTTGCACCCCACAAAATGATAAATTTTGGGGATTGACAAATGTTAATCATCATCTTGTTTGATATGCTGTTCACTTGAAACTATTAAGCAAGTTTCAGTGCAGATCAGTGATCTCAGTTTGAAGTGACCAAGTGATCTCAGCAGATCACTTGGTCTGGGTACAAGTGACAGGATGAACAACCCAGCGGGTTTTCTTCCTATTGGGGAGTGTTCTACATGCTGCTATGTCGATATGTCTACTCACAGGACAAGTGGCACGTCCCAATAAACTTGCCCCACGAGGCAAAATAAAAAAAATAAAATTACTTCAATCACTCATCTGTCATAATACATGACAAACAAACCTGCAGTAAAACTTAATTGGCAATTATATTTCATTAGTTATTAACATTACACTATAATTCTATTTCACCTAAACATACAATATAACATAAGGGTCTAGGATGAACTGCAATGTTGTCACTTATCAAATCGTAATTATTGCAACCTGATAAGAGTCCTGAATGGGCAATAACATCATCAGTTATTTTCAAGGATGTTACTGATTTATTCTCTGCATAATAATTCTGCTATAGGATTAGGTTACTTGAAATGAAGAGCTTGAAGACACTATTCATTGATGACACAATTGCATAACATTTCAGAAAATGCCGAAACAATTCATTGCACTTTCTTGCACAGTAGTTCAAATAAACTCAAAATGCACTCAATTACAGCAAGCATATAAGGAAAAGTCCAATAAATATGAATAATAAAAGGTTATTCTGTATTTTCAGTGTACTTTATATAAGTATACAAAGGTAGATATCATATTTACAGCATGCAATCACTTATCATAATATATATTTTATACATGCCTCTGGTAAATTCTTAAAACTGAAATTGTCTAGCTTAGAAAGTTTGTAGTGTCATATCTGCAAATACACTGTTAAAACTAATGCTGTCATCAATCTTGCATTCACTGTAACATTTAAATGACACTCTACATAACCCTTAGTCTCCCAAATGAACACTTCACTGTAATTCAATAAAGTATATGATGGACAACAACGTGAACGTCAAAAACATTTGTAACCGCATTAGTGAAAGTCTCTAAATGGTATCATATGTGCATTAAAAGAAATTCAGTGTCACTGTTTGTTCCAGTACATGAAAACCAAATAAATTCTGAATGGATTTTAAAGTGATGACAATAAATATATATACAAACAAAAATTAACCATGAAACTATTTTGGTTAAAACTGATGGCCTTCCAATCATAACTTTCACTATGCATAAACATCAAAATAGTATACTAATCTTAAATATTCAGATCAGCACTTAAAGCACTAGTGAAAACAACTGCTTTCAGAATTTTTAACAAGAAATTAAAGGTTGAGATTTTGAGAAGGGGAACTAAATATTACAAAACTCAATTTCCTTCCAAACCAAAATTTAAATTTGCAATTATTAAATAAACTATTTGTGGTCAAAACATTCTACACAAATATCACTTCTTAAATATACTGTACCCAGTGTACGTATTTCGGTGATCGTAGGCAATTTTATAGTTTATAGATACAGTAAATATATTTATGCTAGGAATCATGTCACATGGAAGTTTTCTACATCTAATTTAAAACACAAAATACACAAGACTTAAGAGTAAGGGTACTTGCTGGGTTGCCATACGACACTGTAACAAACCCTAAGGCACAGTGACCATTATCACAATAATGTATAGTAACTGAAACAAAGATAGTGAGATGTGTTAACGAAACCACACACTAGAAATTGAAGGGACGACAACGTTTCAATCGACTTGAGAATGGTCAAGGACGGATCAAAACGTCGTCGTCCCTTCACTTTCTAGTGTGTGGTTTGGTCATCATATTTCAGTCA